CTTCGCATGTGAGAGGTAGTGGGATCGATGCCCACATTCTCCAGCCAAGCTCATACTCTCCATTTTGCCTTGGGTGGGACACAGCCTTTGCAGTTTATGCTTTTTGGCACACTGTTGTGAGGTGGGGAAGTAGCTCCAATGGTAGAGACTTGCTTAGCCTGCAAGAGGCAACACAATCAAGGGCTAGAGGTAGCAGAGACTCTCCCTTTCTTCAAACTCATTATCTTCCGGGGCTGTGCAAGTGAGGAGAAAGGAAGGCAGGTCTAGGATGCTCCTCTCTTTGTCTAAGGATTTTAAACCACAACCTGCCCCTACCAGGAGAGTTTGTTGAGGACATGATCAATGGGGTGTTGATTCAGACACTAGCGCAATGGCTTAGCATGCAAACGAGGGCCCAATGAAAGTCTGCATTGCCCATCTGAGGCTGGTTTGCTTCCTTTCTGTTATCCGGACAGCACAGCCTCTGCATTTTGATTTTTGTTATATCGCTTTGCATCTGAAAAACAATAGAATCGATATCGATATCTAGACACGGATGAATCTGAGAAATTAATTTTTCTTCAGCTTCTCATTGTTTTCAAATGTTAAGGTCATTCTGCTCCTTCTCTATATCAGGTTGCCAATCTGTCTTTGCCATCCAGCTTGGGAATTAGCTCAAGTGGTAGAGCGCTGGCTTTGCATGCAAAATGTAGTGGGATTAATGCCTGCCTGCTCCAAAGTGGACCTTGACCAAACAAACACTGCCTATAGTTTAGTCAATTTGTTTGAGGTTCAAGCTGAGATATAATTGTGTTCTTCTGCCCAAAGCATTAGTTTCCACATCATTCAGACTCAAATATAGGCTCATTTACTCACAAAGAAATCCTCCAAGCCTTGTGGTGCAGTGGCTAAACTGCAGTATCGCAGGCAAAACTCTGCTCAGGACCTGGGTTCAATCCCAGGCATCCAGCTCGAGGTTCACTGAGCCTTCTATCCTTCCAAGTTCAGTATATTGAGCACCCAGCTTGCAGGGAGGGGCATATGTAGCTTGCATAATTGTAAATCACCCAAATAATGCTTTAGCACTACGGGGTGGCATATAAGCAGCACACTCAGTTTTTTAGTTTTTAGCCTTTTTTTGCTTTAGATGGGTGAGCGATAATCTTTAGGAGTTGCTCACCTGTCTTGCAAGTACAATCTACTGCTACCTCTTAGCAATTATTACAGTTAACAAAGTATTTATAAGTATTTGAACTATAAACATCCTGCTCTTTGCTACTTTACCTAGACCTGGGTTTTGCTTTTCATGTCTGAAGGCTGGTAGAAACGTGAAAGCATTTTACATTTCTGAACAGGCACCCACAGATCTGAGCTGTACTTTGCATGATCCATGTCCAAATTGGTCTGAATTAATTCTGTCCTGCTCACTTTTCTCCAGCCTTGACTTTCCTCTCTTTGGCCATACCTAAATTTTTTTCCCAATCAGCACCAATGAATACATTTTAGCATATTAATTTGTGTTACTCATTCATGGACAAATGTCAAGGAAAACATCAGGTGAGACCTTGGAAACTGGATTGTGGCCATCTTGACCTGTGCAGAGCATGTCATGCTGATCCATTTTCTTCAGTCCTTGCCATCCCTGTTTTACAGAAAACAATCAATCTTTGATGGTTTTGTCAGCATCTGTTGTTCCCTGAGGTAGAGACATTCACCTGGAATGAATAAGGAGTGCCTAAATTTTAGCTTTAAACTCAGGAGTCTTTGTTGCAGAATTTTGAATATCTTCAAGTTCTCCAGGTCCACCCCTTTTCTCATTAACTGACTCAGTTTCAAATACAGTGGTGCCCCGCATAGCGACGTTAATCCGTTCTAGGATTAACGTCGCTATCCGGAAACATCGCTAAACGGAACATAAAACCCCATAGGAACGCATTAAACTCCGTCACACACCCCTTTTCTCATTAACTGACTCAGTCTCAAATACAGTGGTGCCCCGCATAGCGACGTTAATCCGTTCTAGGATTAACGTCGCTATCCGGAAACATCGCTAAACGGAACATAAAACCCCATAGGAACGCATTAAACTGCGAAAATGCTGCAGGCGGCCATTTTCTTGATGCGGCGGCCATTTTGGAACCACTGATCAGCTGTTTCCCTAACATCGCAATGCAAAGATCAGTAAGCGAAACGCTTACCGATCATCGCAATGCAATGTTTAGCCTATCTAAACATCGCAATGCGATCGTAAAAACGATCGCAAAATCCGCATTGCTATGCGGATTCGTCGTTAAACGGTGCGCTCGTTAAGCGAGGCACCACTGTAACTCACTTTGAGGCATTTGCAGTATAAATAATAAAAGCCATATTTTTTACTTACTGTTGTGAACAGATCAAACAGCAAACTGACAAACATGACTACTTTCAACAACAGACTTCAGATTACTGACGGCCAACAGAGAACAGAGAGGGGAGAAAACAGAGCAGAGGAGCAGGCCCTCGTTGAATCAGAGGCAGGGAGGAATGATTAGCCAGGCCAGACAGAATGATAGTCACTCCAGTCCAGAAAGGTCCCTCCCAGCTACACCTACCAGAGGCAGTATGCAATGCTGCAAAAACTCCAATAGCTTTTCATCATATGCTTCAATACACTTGTAATATATTTCCTCTGTGTTGTATGTATTTAGTTTTATCTCTGTTTATTAGGCAAGCCCTTTTCAAAACTCAGTGCTCTCCTAATGTATTGGACTACTATAGCCATTCACCTCTGACTGACTGGGTATGATCCATTTTTAAAAATATCAAATAAAATATTAACAATAATATTTTGCATATGAGTTTCTGGGTGGTATATTTACACTGTTATGAGATGGCCCTTTTATTCTGTCTAATGGTAGAGCTGTTCCTACTCCGAAATGGAGGAGTGGAAGCCACTCCCAGACTAAACCACAGTGGGCACATATTGTGGGGAAACAGCCTGTTGAAACACAAGATCCCTGAAGGGCATTTTCATAGACATCAGCTGCTGTCACTGTCCGTATGTGGCTTTAGCTCGTTTCTGTGGGGAATCATCATCATCATCTGCTGTCGAGTCAGTTCTGGCTTATGGTGACCCTTTCCCATGGGGAATCATCATCATCATCTGCTGTCAAGTCAGTTCTGGCTTATGGTGACCCTTTCCAGGGTTTTCCAGATAAAGAATATTCAGAAGTGGTTTGTTGGCATTTCCCTGCTCATGCTTGTTCTTTTGTAGACAAAAATGGGCATGATCACAATACAGGCCCGAACATTCCTGAGGTAGAAAGACCAAAAGTAAACAAAAAGTAAAATATAAATAGGAGGTAATTACAACATCTTCCACATTGTTATCTACCCTCTACTTCACGATCCTGAGTGGTCACTGGAAGGACAGATCCCATTACAACATCTTCCACCTTGTTATCTACTTCACGATCCTGAGTGCTCACTGGAAGGACAGATCCTGAAGCTGAGGTTCCAGGACTTTGGCCATCTCATGAGAAGAGAAGACTCCTTAGAAAAGACCCTGATGTTGGGAAAGCGTGAAGGCAAGAGGAGAAGGGGACGACAGAGGATGAGATGGTTGGACAGTGTCATCAAAGCTACCAACATGAATTTGACACAACTCCAGGAGGCAGCGGAAGACAGGAGGGCCTGGCGTGCCCTGGTCCATGGGGTCACGAAGAGTCGGACACGACTTAATGAGTAAACAACAACTTTATGACCTTTTTAAAAACCAGGTTGGTGGTGGTACTCCATTCAGGGAGCACCTACAGTCGAAAGAAAACATTGTGGTGAGGCATGTTAGCCTGAAGCAGTGGCAGCTGGTGCTGTTTGGGATCAAGTGGGAGAAAAGTGGCCAACAAGGTAAGCCAAAGGCAGCATTAGGTCCTAATGTGCCAGACCATCCTCACGTTGGGCTGAAAAGGACAATAGTTTAGCGCTAGATCACCTCTGCATGGAGAAAAAAAAGACAAAAATTGTAATGAAATAGAAACAACTGTGTTGAGCTACAGCAGACTACTATGTTTCTGTAGTGTCTGTGTATGTGTTTGTGTGTTATGAAGAACAATGAGGAACTTCCCCTTTTCCCTAGCATCATGCAACACAGTCCACTGGTTTTACAATGAACCATAAAAGAAACGCTGGGGATCAGCAATGGGCAGGATCAAAGGAAGGGGCAGTGGGCACAGATCAAACCACATCAGACTGAGACACCACTGGCACCGAAATGATCCATTGTTCTTGTAACTTGGGTTTGGTGATCACCAAAACCAAACAGAAGAATAACATTGGCTGCAAATCAAGCCACAGCACAGCTGAATCCCCCATAGTTGACTTGCCAGGGTTGCCAAAGCATCTCCTGTTTATTAGCATCACCTGGGTCTCAATGGTGTCTGCCCGGCAGTCTTCCTCTTCCTCCTAGCTCTCCTCCTTGAATCCCCAGCCCTCCATGCTCACACATGTGACTTCCAAGGCATCACCCGCATCACCACAGCCAACACCCAATCAACAGGTGAACTGCAAATCTTGTCCTGGTGGAAAGTTGACTCCCCAGCAGGGGGAACAGACCTGTGTCACCCACAGAAAGTGACACAGATTGATCCTCCTATCACTTGTCAAAATCCACTGGTTCGCTTTGCACACAGGACTGGCCTTACTGTCAGGCATAGGGAGGCAGTCACCTGACATGGCAGATATCTGGTTTCAGGAAATTGATTTTTATTACTTTGTCCACATCATATTTTTACTGACCGGTAAGGGGAGAGAAGCTTGTGAGGTTTTCTGCTTCCCATTATAAAGTAACTTGGTTGCTGTGTATCTGAAGTTATGCTAGTAGACAATGCAATTTTCTATGCCTTAAATTGCAAAATGGTCTTGGGTTGGCCCTTGTTTTGCATCTGCCAGAACTATTTGGCTAAAGCATCTGCCAGCATTTCGTCTCCCAGTAAAACATTTACACAAGAATTTGTCCTCTTCTTTTGTTGACAGTTCAGGGTTTGAGAGCATTAACTCCTAATTCAGAGAACTCCAGAATTTCATATGGTTCTGCAGTCCTCTTTAGTTCTCAGTGCTCATTTCAGATATTGCCCATCACGAATCAATCAGGATGCATAAGCTGCTGCTTCTCGGCCTCTCTGCTTTGCTCTTCTGCACTATTGGTGAGTATATGTGTATGTACTGCATGAGTAGGTGTGCCTGTAAATGCAGAGAAAAAGGATTTTAGAGCCTGGATTCTAGGGTCAAATTTAGGCACACAATTGTCTGTTTTCATCTCTTCATTCATGTCACAAGATGAATGTTAAAGCGAAGAATAAGATGGTTGGAAATCTTTAAGTGAAAGAAGTTTCACAGAAGCGAATCAAAGTGGACTATACATCTAGGATTTTAATGGGGTCCTCCTTCAAATAGTCCAAAATGCTGAGACCAGACTGACCAGGTCTGGCTGCGGGGAGCATGTGATCATCTTGATCTGATCTGCTGGATTCCAGGCACCATTCAAGGTGCTTATTATGACCTCTAAAAAGTAAACAACTTGAGACCAAAAAAGACCACATTCTCCCATACGAACTCTTCTGAGGTTGAAGATCATCAGGGAAGGATCTCAATCCCACTACCATCAGAAATATGTCCAGTGACAGAAGCAAGAAAGGAGCTTCTTGATGACTCTTTCCAGAGCCCAGACTTCCCTGCTGAAAAAAACAGGGCTCCGTCTAATGTCCTTCCTTCCTTCACAAGTATGATCTCCAAGGCTTAGGTGCTGGCTGAGGTCTCAGGAAACTGCTATGCTATTCTGGGTCTCCAGAATGAAGGTGAACAGATAAATCTCAAGGTGAGCATATTAGGAGAGGCTTTAAAGCCTGCCTGCGCATTTCCATCCATGCCCAGCTAGCAGCAGCGCTCACCAAGTCACCATAAAGATGTTTATATAGTCATGCCCCGCTTAACGATTACCGCATATAATGACGAATCTGCTTCACGACAAAACGATGCTTTAATGGGGTTTGTTCGCTTTGCGATGATCAGTTCCCGCTTTGGGAACCGATTCTTCGCATTACGATAATCAAAACGGCTGATTGTCGAGTTTTCAAAATGGGCGCTGGTTGCTCAAAATGGCTCCCTGCTGTTTTTAGGAGGCATTTTTCATGAGACAGGCACCGGAAAATGGCCGCCGTATGGAGGATCTTCACTGGACAATTAGGTATTTCACCCATTGGAAACCATTAACTGGTTTTTAATGCATTTCAATAGGTTTTTAAATTTCGTTTGACGTTTTCGCTCTACAGCAATTTTGCTGGAACGAATTAACGTCGTCAAGCGAGGCACCACCGTATGTATATTGTTCCAGATGACATAATCAATAAGCCCAAGTGCATGGACCACTGGCTCTCCCCCTAGTCCCTTCATTTCCTGTTTCCTTCACTCCTGGCTTGTTCAGGCACTTGGTTGGCCCTTTGTGCTACTTAGAATAATGCAGGGATTCACACAACATATTGGCGACTCTTGCATCTTTCATTTGCACAATAATGGCACAAAACCTTTGGGGGAAAAGTCCTGCATTCTTCCAACCCTTGCCTGCTTTCTCTGTGGTATAATAAAGCAAAAGAATATAAACAATTTAATAATCATTTGATAAGGAAATCTTTGCTGTGGATATAGGACAGTAAACGATTAACTCAAAACATCAAATGCATTTAAACATAGATTTATATCATGTTTACAAAACATCTCAAAAAGGAAGAGATTGTTTCCAAGGAGAACAACACCTAACAAGCATGGCTGCCTGATTTTTCCAAATTAGGTGGGAAAATGCAGACTTAAAGCAGCCAGGAGATAGCCATGAAAACACCATAGACAAAGGGCTAGGGTGAGCCTAACCTTCATCTATTTTTAAAGAAAATGTTTTTTTGTGTCTCAGCTACTGCTTAGAGCTAAACAATGCTTTTCATTTTATATTTTCTTAGAAGCTCTTTAATGTAATTTTAAAGAAACTTTTGATGCTTTTAAATTTATATTGTTTTTTTACTTTTAAATGAAACATTATAATGATGTATTCTTTGCCTTATTAGGCTAGAAGCGCTTATTCATTTTTATTCTTGAAAATCTCTACTTTTAGTGAAGATGCTGCTGTATCTCAGAATGTAACTTGAAATGTTCATTTTATATATATTTTATTGTACTTATGCTCCTATATTTTTTACTATATTAACTCCTGTGTTTCAATACTTCTCTGTTTGTATTCAAGTACAATTTGAACCCACTTTTCACATTTTTAAGCAGATGTGCCTACAGTTTTCTTCATAACTGTAAGACTGCCTTTGTCTTTTCTACTTTTCAGCATGGAACCTAGAAATGATGTAAATAAATAGAACTTGAATAGAATTAACTAGTTCTGGATTGGCCTGGAATTATTGCAACAGTGAAGAAATTTAAGATGTGATACTCAGATGAGTTGCTTATTCATTTTTATTCTTGAAAATCTCTACTTTTAGTGAAGATGCTGCTGTATCTCAGAATGTAACTTGAAATGTTCATTTTATATATATTTTATTGTACTTATGCTCCTATATTTTTTACTATATTAACTCCTGTGTTTCAATACTTCTCTGTTTGTATTCAAGTACAATTTGAACCCACTTTTCACATTTTTAAGCAGATGTGCCTACAGTTTTCTTCATAACTGTAAGACTGCCTTTGTCTTTTCTACTTTTCAGCATGGAACCTAGAAATGATGTAAATAAATAGAACTTGAATAGAATTAACTAGTTCTGGATTGGCCTGGAATTATTGCAACAGTGAAGAAATTTAAGATGTGATACTCAGATGAGTTTACAAACAGTTTGTGACTGATTATTTGGTTTTGTTCCGGCATTAACCCTTTACTGGGATAACGTCAGCTATCAAAAAATCATAGAATCTCTTTACCTGGGAGGCCTGTAAATTTTATAGGACTCCAAAAAATCACAGAATCTCTTTATCTGGGAGGCCTGTAAATTTTATAGGACTCCTAGGGGGCGTCAGTTGCTCAAATCAGGATCTGACAGCCCCTCGGCCCCTACCATTGGTCTCTTTCAACATATTCCATTCTCTTTCAGCTCATGGCATTGTATGCAACGTCTGTAGTGGTGGAAACGGCAAGCTTTGCTATTCCAAAGTAGAGTTGTGCAAGACTGACACTGGGAAATGTTACACGTATGCAAGCTACCTTGGTAAGATATTGGGATTTGGGGGCAAAAATTATTGGGACCTGGAGATGCAAAAGCCAGGAGGAGGTAGGGATGTGGAGCTGGAACTCAAACCAGAGGAAATGTGGAGTTCGACAACAATATAGGCTCATGTTACAAAAGGACTACTTCACTGAATGTGGTCCCCTTTAAATTGACCCTTCCGTGTGCATGAGATGCAGACCCGATTGCTCCAGCTTAGCACCAGATAGCCCTGCCACTAGACCGAAAAGGTCTACATTGGGCACAAAGCAGAGTCAGGCTGGTTTGGGATTTCCTGTACATTGTGTAGCCGTCAAAGAATAGCTTGACCTGGACTGTGCCCCAAGTGGTCCAAAACTCATGACATATTGCAGCCTTACCGAGTTTGATATTTCCGGGTCTTCTTCAAATCCAAAAGAAGAATCCATAGCTACACCTGCAGGATAGGAAATCAGACCATACGTCTAGAGCCGTGGTTCCCAACCTTGAGTCCCCAGGTGTTCTTGGACTAAAACTCCCAGAAGCCTTCACCACTCTCTGTGCTGGCCAGAATTTCTGGGAGTTGCAGTCCAAGAACATCTGGGGACCCAAGGTTGGAAACCCCAGAGAGGCAGCTAGGGCAAGTTATTGATTGAACGACAGCTCCCAGAATTTATCAACATCCCAGAATTTGTCAACCAACCCACAGTTCATGCTGGCTGTGAAATTCTGGGAGTTATAATCTAGAAAAAAACAGCTTTTCTGAATTGCAATGCACACATTAATTGATTGATTTTTGCCCCGCCTTTCTTCTTGAAAAGGACCCCAGATGACTTACACCTTTGTAAGCCAATATTTAAAGCTAAGAACAATGAGTATATAACAGTGGTTTACATTGTTAAAAGAGATTATTTAAAGCTAAGAATAATGAGTATAAAGAGGTAGCTTCCATCGTGGTATAGAAGAGGAGTGGGACACCTTACTAGATCTGGGGTTCCATCTTAGCTTCCTGGGTCTCAACTCGGCTTACATCCTATCATGTGCTGCTGAAATTGGGCAGTGCACAGTAATGACCCAAAAGGGACCCCTTTTGGGGTCCCTCTTGGGTCATTACTTTTCCTGTAGGCAAAAACGGGTCCCTCTTCTTTGACAACAGAATGATACTTCCTAAAGGCTTATTTCTTATCAGACATTTTTTTTAAAAAAATTCAGTGACATCAGTCATCCTATGCAATTCACTTACTCAGACTGCAAAGGTATCTCTTGGTGAGATACCTTTGAAAGTGACACACCCACTACGGTGAGTGCAGAATATGACCACTAGACAGGAAGACCTTTCACAGCCCATATGACACCAGTTCTAAACAAATCCCATTAGCTGCCAATAGGCTTCCAGTCCAACATCAAGATACTGATGCTGACCTATAAAGCCCTAAAGCAGTGGTGTCCAACCTTGGCCCTCCAGATGTTCTTAGATTACAGCTCCCAGAAGCCTTCACCACCACCTCTGCTGGCCAGGATTTCTGGGAGTTGAAGTCCAAGAACATCTGGAGGGCCAAGGTTGGGGACCACTGCCCTAAAGGGTTTGGGACTTGGATACTAGTGGAAGTGACTCTCCCTATATACCACTGCCTGATCACTAAGATACGCTTGAGAGCTCCTCTGTGTCCACCATGGAGAACAATCCATTACTTGGAGAGACACAGGGTGGGAGTGGAGGGGGGCTTTCTCAGCTCATCTCAGTCACTGAATGGTCTCACTTTAGAAGGTCAAGTGATGCCAAGTAACCTCATTTTGGCACCAAGTTAAAACCTGGTGTCTGTGAAGGTCCTCGGCCATCCAGGTGAGGTTATCTGGAAGTTGAGTCATGGCAACCGGACTTTGTCCTTATTAGGTTGAAACGTTTCTCTACTCATCCAAGGATGACTGAAGAAGCTACTTGAATGAGTAGTGATACATTTCAACTTAATGAGAAAGAAGTCCAGTTGCCATGACTCAACTTCCTGATTAAAACCTGGTGGTTCACCAAGCCTTGGCTGAAATGGCAGTGGTAATAAACCCCTTTGGCCAGCAGAGGACAGGCGAGCATCTTTCTCCTCTGGCAAGCTAGCCCAAAGAACTTTGGAGGCTGCTACTGGATTCTCTGCTGTGATACCACTGGCCGAAGAGGGTTTCCATTGTCCGCATCTTGCCTCTCACCTTTTCTGGTCCTTTCTGCTGAGGATGGAGAACCTGTGGCTCTCCCAATGGACTCCAATTCCCATCCGCTTCAGCCACCTTTGGCAGCAGACGGTGACAATGGGCTCTGAAACCTAGCAATAGCTACTAAGTCACACACTGTTGTTTCAGAACACCACCCTCACACCTAAAAAATTAATGTGGTTTGGTGATGTGGAAATCTGTCTCATTTATGCTAAGTTTCTTAGTATCTCACCAACATTGTCTTCCAGGTGCCTTCTGTAAGACTCTGTGTGCATGTGTGTGAGAGAGTTTGTGTGTGTATGTGTCCCCAATACATACATAAATAGCAAAGCATGCTTCTTATATACAGCTCCATAGGGCTTAAAGAACTCTCTGGGTGGTTTACAATTTAATTATGGAGACTACATATTGCCTCAACATCATCCCCAGTGAGTTGGGTATGCCATACTCAATAAATGCATTCATTTATGCATATGTGCATATGTCAACATGCATTGGCCATTCACTTTCCTTCATTACCTAAAACATATTTTTGTGCAGTTTTCAAATATTTTGATTGTGTATATTTTTTCCAACTGTATGCATTTTTGAGGTCTTTTTTGTGGGAAGAACTGCATATACTGTAAATGAAAAGAGTAAATCAGTACAGTGGTGCCTCGTATTGCGACGTTAATTCGTTCCTCGTGGCGCAGTGGTTAAAACACTGTACTACAGCTACAACTGTGCTCACGGCCTGGGGTTCAAATCCCAGGTAGCCGGCTCAAGGTTGACTCAGCCTTCTATCCTTCCGAGGTCGGTAAAATGAGCACCCAGCTTGCTGGGGAGGCAATGTGTAGCCTGTATAATTAGATTGTAAACTACCTGGAGAGCGCTTGTAGCACTATGGGGGGGTATATAAGTCAAAAAAAAAAATCACTGCAGAACGAAAACGTCGCAATGCAAAATAAAAAAGCCTATAGAAACGCACTAAAACCTGATTAATGCGTTCCTATGGGCTTAAAACTCACAGTTCAGCGAAGATCCTTCATAGCGCCCCCATTTCTGGTGCCTCTTAAGCGAGGAATCCGTCCCAGAAAACAGCAGGTGGCCATTTTGTTTATCCGGAGGCCATTTTGAAACCGCCAATCAGCTGTGCGAAAATGGTCACTTTGCGATGATCCGTCATCGCAAAGCGAAATTCCCCCATAGGGAACATCGCAAAGCAATTACTTTTGCGATTGCAAAAAATGTGTTGGAAAGCGATTTCATCGCTAAACAGAGCGATCGCTATGCAAGGCACCACTGTACATTGATTTTGATTCTCCCAGGCTAATCCCGAAGGCATCATGAGCCCTTTGATGCTCTTTGTCCCATTGCTGGTATTTGGGGTGAGGCATGGAAAACAGATATTTTCATAGGGGAAAACTGAACTCAAAAAGCAAATTATTTCCTTATCCTTACCTCTTTCTCTTTGATTCGCTTCACTCTCACAGACAAGGAGCTCTATTACGTCAGTTACGATTGCCTCCATCATGACTATTTGATATGGTATTGCAATAAAACTGAAAAGGACGAAAGATACACCCATGTTGCGACTTGCTGTGAGACTGATAAATGCAATGGAGAAATACCCCGTCTGCCTTGGAGCTGAAATTAAATGATTGAAAAGATCCAGAGAGGGTTGTAAGCTGGCTCTTCTCAAAGAAAAGGACTGCAAACTCACTCTGCTCCCCTTTCTTCAACATTTGAATTTTTAAAAAATTTAACAGATTGGTCAGATGTGTGGTGTAGAAATGGAATCAATCAATCAATTGATCGATCAATCAATCAATCAAATTGATGCAAAAACACAATTTTGAGATGAAATTAAAACAATGAAGGCTTTTGCATTGGTAATAAGAGCCACTGTTGAATCAGGTTTTTCTTAAATAAAAATGGTTTTAAAAACATCCTGGCTACAAAATGGCATATTCCACTCCATTCAGGAATCATGTTATTTGGATCTGAAGTATGGTATTTTATTGTCCCAGTAGAGGACCATTTATTTTACCACAGATTTAAAATTACTTTATTTCTACATGTGAATTTCTCTGTTGATGTGAACTGCCCTGCAAACACACCATGGATGAATATTTGTACACAAATATGAATATCCCCATGCGGCTGGACTTTACGAAGGTCTGGTCATGGGGGCGGATCATCCATTCACATGTCCTGCGGCGGCCTTGCTCATCCTTCCAATGGTCCCTGGAGTGCTGCTCTCTTCCCATTCGGCTGGCCACTCGGCAGCCACGCAGGGAGATTTGCCCTCCCTCCCACTGCCTGGAGTAGCCAGCTGAGTGGGAAGAAAGCAGTGCTCCAGGCACGACTGGAAGGGTGAGCAAGGCTGCCGCCACTGCAGGACGTGTGAGTGGATGGTCCAGCCCCAGGGGCCAGACCCTCATTAAGTTCAGCTGTGCAGGGATATTCACATTCATATATGAATATAAATACCCCCATCTCTAATGGGGATTCATAGTTTTACACCACTAAAGAGTAGCTAGAGGAGGCAGACAGGTGTTGTGGTTGCTTTTCCCCCCTCTTCTAGGTGTTAAAAAAGCTAAGAGCTCAGGCAAGACACCACATAGGGAGAGTACCGTATTTTTCTGTGCATAAGAGTATACAGTACTTTTGTCTAAAATATTTAAAGTAAAAATTGAGGGTTGTCTTATATACGGAAGTAAGCTGAGGAGAAAAAACAAGTGGCGGGGAAAGCAGGGATCAAAGTGATCCTGCAGGGCTTTGATCCCTGCTTTCGCCTCCACTTGCTGAGCCTTAGCAAAAGGAAAGCAGGGATCAAAGTGCTGCAGGATGGCTTTAATCCATGCTCTGCTTGCTAAGTCCCATGGGGTTTAGCAAAAGGAGGGGGGAGGGATCAAAACAATCCCGTGGCTGTATAAGGGGGAAAGGGATCAAAATGATTGTGCAGTCATGGATTTGCTTTGATCCCTTTCCCCCTCCTTTTGCTAAGCCATGCGGGGCTTAGCACAAAGAGAGAAAGCAGGGATCAAAGCCATCCTGCAGCACTTTGATCCTTTTTACCCTACATTTGCTAAGCCCCACTTAGATTTCTTAATTTTGGGTTAGAAAAGTGGGGGCCATCTTATAGTACATGGGGGCTTCTGGAGCCCAAAGAGAAGAGTGGTTTCTCTTCCTCCTCCTCTTCCTCCTCCTCCTCTTCCTCCTCCTCACTCTCCAGACAGGTCATTTGGGTTTCCTGCATCCAGAGGAGAGAAACCTCCCTCACAGTAACTCTAAACATGTCTGATATTACTGTTGAACAAATGAGTACAGCCACACAATTTGTGCCTTATCGTACTCCTAATTTTCTCTGAAGAAAGAGATTAAAGAGTGACTAAATCTACATAGAATTCGTGTTACTCTGGAGAGACTCATTGTGGGTGTTGAGATCAGAGACAGGCATGAACCACCATTTTACTGGCTGAACGGGTATTTGGAGCTTCCCAGCCCCACCTCTTTCCGTGGGAACCCACAACATCCAGAGGTGGGGCAGTGAAGCCTGAGTGCTACCTCTCACTGGGTAGCTCACAGGAGGCGGTGGCGGCGCTGGGAAGCACCACACACCTGTTTGGCCAGTAAATGAACCAGCACAACCCACTGATCTAGTGTTCTGTAAGCTGAGTTATGGCAACTGGATTTCTTTCTTATTAGGTCAAAATGGTTCACTAGTCATCCCAGTAGCTTCTCCAGTCTGCAGAGAGTTGGTAGGAGACCCTTCTCCTCAGACTGAAGAAGCTTCTTGGTTGAGTAGCAAAACATTTCAACCTAATAACAAAGAAGTCCAGTTTCTATGACTCAACTTCACCTGGATGACCGAGAATCTTCACAGATACACTGATTCAGTAGTTCGTGTCTATGTCTAATTGGAATACAAAGAGTGGTCCAGGTCTCTCTATGCTGTCTATGTACCTGTTGTGGAACTCATTCTTGTGTGTTCATTTTGTGCTTGTATTCTGAGTTGTAAGCTTAGTAAGTATTTTCTACAGTTCCTTTATTACGGTGCCAGTGAGTCTCTCATTTTCTTAAAAATGAAGGCATATTTACACCTCATTGCGATCGAGGACCTGTTTCTGGAGCCTGACAGGCAGGATGTTCGGGAGATGCTAAGGTGTCAGTTTGAATCCCACTTTTGCCCCCCCCCCCCTCAGCCTCTGAGAGGGAAGAGTATAAAGCTGGAGGATGAAACTTACCAACGTGCCTGGTCATGTTTGAAATGACATGTATTTAGAATAGCAAAGATTGTGACGTTCTGCATGTATTAATCAGCTATGTTGCTAATTTGGGAAAACTGTGCTCCGTCTGAGTTTCCAAGTAGGTCAGATGTAATATTTGGCAAACAGAACTTCAGAACATTAAAAGGAGCTGCGTAGGGTTGGAGGGGATGTCTAGCCTGTTCTTACAGGGACCAGCCAACTTGTTTCTGGGGAGCCCAACTACAAGATGGAAAAGCCTTACCACAGAACCATTCAGCTTCCCCTGCATCCTGCCTCGGACACTGGAGGTGGTACGCAGCCATCACAGGGAGCAGATGTCAACAACTTCATCCTCTACAAATCTACTGCTGTTTTAAAGCTGTGCATATTTGTGGCTGTCACTACTTCCTGAGGAAATGGATTCATTATCTGTGCACCTAGATAGCATGTTTCATTTTATCTGGCCTGAATCTAAATCTCCCACCATTCCGCTGATGGTAATTTTGATACAAAGAGAAAAGATTCTTCCAGTCTGGTTGCTCCATGCTATGAATAACGATATAAACCCTTCTGATTCCCTCATTTGTCCCTTTTTACAGCTAAAGCAAAGTGTGATGCTTATATACAGCTCATACTGCTTAAAGCACTATCTGGGCAATATACAATTTACAGTGGTGCCTCGCTTGACCTTGTTAGACGAGGAAATCGCTTCACGATGATGTTTTTGTGATCACTTCTGCGATCGCAAAACGATGTTTCAAAGGGCTTTTTTTGCTTTACAATGATCGGTTCCCTGCTTCGGGAACAGATTTTTTGCTTAACGGCAATCAAAAACAGCTGATTGTCAGGTTTCAAAATGGCCACCCATTGTGCAAAATGGCTCCCCGCTGTGCTTTAGGATGGATTCCTCGCATTACAGGCACCAGAAAATGGCCGCCCTATGGAGGATCCTTGCTGGACGCTGAGGTATTTCGCCCATTGGAACGCATTGAACTGGTTTTCAATGCATTTCAATGGGCTTTTTCATTTCGCTTGATGAGGATTTCACTTAACAGCGATTTGAACAGAACGAATTATCCTCGTCAAGCGAGGCACCACTGTAATTATACACATGCCACTCTTCTGTGAGCTGGGAACTCAGAAAGATGGAAAGCTCAGTCAGCTTCAAGTCAGATCCCTGAGCCTGTTGAGATCAAACTCATGTTGTGAGCAGAATCTTGACTGCAGTACTGCAGTTCAACCACTATGCATGAAGATCCTAAACGCTAAAGCTCCTCAGATGCGGTAGCATACTCTAGATTTCAAAAAGGCAGTCTAAAGGGTGGCGCCAAGTCTTTCTCTTCATCTGTAGCTCTGCAAAATGGCTGGCAAGGAGGTATTCATAATACATGGTGACGTCATTCTGAGCCATCCCTACTTCCTCAGTGGTTGGGGTGTCCAGGAGAGACCTTGAGCTGGCAGAGGAAAGCAGCTGCAACGGCCACCAACTTTTTTGGTGGCAGCAGCTCAACCTGTTGCATTACTTCTGAATCCCCTTTTCCTCACGTCAAATTCCTGACCATCTTTTTATCCCTATGATTGTTGAATTGGATATAAAAGTGTTGCTGTGACGCTGTTCCACCTTGAGGTGAGGAGCAGCTCTTTTCTCTTCTCCGTATTCATTCCAGAATTGTGAAAATACTCCTTATCTAGTCTGGTTTTGCATATTTGCATGGAGGCAAGGTACATTCTCGGCTGTTTTCGTTCTCCTCTCTCTTCACCTATTTTGAGCTGTGATGGATTGACTCCCTAAAGGAAGCCACAGCCTTGAGTCTAAAAGGGCAGTTGAGGGCAGTTGAAGGTCGGCCATTTTGGAGACTGGTCATTGATAGAGTCACCACCAGAGATGGGCACGAAGCTTGGTTTGTATGTGTGGCACCACAGGTGCCCCACATTCTCTTTCCCTCACCTCCCCAGCTGGAAACCCCCACCCCCACCCCACTCACCAGTCCCTGCATGCTCCATTCCTCCTCCTCTTCAGCTGTTCAACCAGTTTCCAGCAAGAAACACGGAATTCCCTGCCCCACCTCCTCGGCCGATGGCCCACTCAGTCAAGGCAAGGGCAGGACAGGCCACCCTGTGCTCCTCCTCCAAACGGGTCGAACACCTGAAGGAGAGGAGAGGAGAGGAGCGCACTCTGACTGGTGCATTGGCCACCGGCTGGGGAGGGGGGAGAAGGGAACCTGTGGTGCCACACATAGCAAACCACAACAAACCTCCATTTCTAGTCTCCACACAAATCAGTGGTGACTTGATGGTACATAGTAACAAACATTTCTAACTGTAAAATAACCTTTTTCAGGTGCAGTGGGTCAAAATTATGCAAAGCGTTCAAGTGTAGCCATGTCAGAGATCTCTACAAAAACAGATTGATATTGAATATTGTATTATTGCTTATATGTCTCATTAGCTAGATGCATCGTGGAAATGACCTTTTTTTGATACCACCCATGTACTGGGTCAGTTTTCCATATGTCATACATGACAAGCCTAATACCTAAAATCCTGAAAAAAAATCACAATCCCCAACCACAAAGCCAGGGGTAAGGAGATTCTCTTCTCTTTGCCCTCTTCTTTATATGAAATAAGCAATCGGGAGAGGCAGGGCCAAAACTCTCCCCCTGCTCATGCTTTCCTATTCACCCTTTGCTTATTTACCTGAATAGGCTGATTGTTTAACTCAGACCCTGTGAAGTTTAGACTCACCACCACCACTGAGCATCGATTTATATACATATGCTTCCACTGAGCAGCAGCTGTCCTCTTCATGGCCATACCTCAGTTTGCAAGGATCATTTTGATGCTCTTTGCTAGAGATGGGTATGAGCTGGCAGTTCAGTGCTTTGTGCTGGTTCTTTTACTAGCCCGACAGGTGTTTGATACTTCCCAGCCCTACCTCCTCTGGCTACGCCCAGAGGAGGGGGTGCAATACAGCTGGGGTGCTGCCTGAGTGGGTGCCTGTGGGAAGAGGCAGGGCAGGGAACTGCCAAA